CTCTCTCTCTCTCTCTCTCTCTCTCTCTCTCTCTTTCTCTCAAGCCACTTCGAGGAAATATCAAATTATATGTAAGCACTATAAATCTTAGATTTGTGTGCTCTCCTTTTTCATTTCCTCTCACTGAACAATTACTTCCTTTCCTTTAGATTTCTTATCAGTTTAGTGTTTGCCTGAACTCAGGGCATTATGGCTGATGTACACCAAAGAAAGAAGTGATGCAAGCTTGTCCCTTTCCCTTTATTAAAAGGTTCAGGGCTCCTAATTCCCTCTGAATCAGGAAGAAAATCTTGCATCCATTTTTAATTTTGGATTCGCCTTCTGATTAATGCTATCCAAAAGGGTGTTTAAAAATCTAAACCCTAAAATCACAGAAACGGAGGAAATTGACATCTCAATCTCTGTGGCATTCCATGTATCCCTCTTCTTCAAATCCACGCGGCTATGTTCTGTCTTTCAGTAACTGATCTCTGATACAGCGACTGTGATTATTCTGTTCACACTCGTGAGCCAAAGGAAGGTTCAATCTGATCACTGAACTGTAGATTTATAGAACAGGATGTGGCCAAGTGCAACATGTTCACCACTGTAAGGGTCAAGGCAGGCTTTGACCTCACCAGTAATACAGGGGACTGAGCTGGTTTCTTCCGATAGTATTCTGCATTTGACATCTTCAGGTTGAGCAGGAGTGTGTAGTGAGAGATTGCATAGAGGCTATCTGCGTTCATCAGGTTTTGGAAGTTAAAGTTGGCACTCCCTTCAATTCCTGGAGAATGCATCATACCTAATAAATACAGAGAGGCGGGAATTATGCACAAGAACCAACCAAATAAATAACAATAACTTAACACTGTTGATACCACCTAGAAAAAAGTAAAACAGTTGGAGTAATGAACACAGTGCTGGATTGGGTTTGGGTTAGTGATGGTTTTCTGGGTTAGATATGGCCCTGTTTCCCTCAAGCAGACACCCCCCCCCCATCACTGGAATCCCTGTTCAATTTTGAAGATGCTGAAAGTACCAAGATGGTAAAGAAAATCAAAATAAATAATTGAAATGACTTCTCATTCTACCTATACATATGATATGGCATGATATGGCTGAATCAGATTTGCTTATGCAAACAAACAAGTATTCAATGGATTTTTAGGACAAGAAAAATGCTGGAATAATATATCATTCATAGATCTTTCCTAAAAGGTCCACAAGGATCAGATATTCTTTTAGTTAAAATAAAATGTGATACACACACATAGACATGCAAAAGATAGATAGATAGATAGATAGATAGATAGATAGATAGATAGATAGATAGATAGATAGATAGATAGATAGATAGATAGATAGATAGATAGATAGATAGATAGAAAGAGAGGGGGGGAGGGAGGGAGGGAGGGAGGGAGAGAGAGAGAGAGAGAGAGAGGGAGGGAGGGAGGGAGGGATATTCTAATATAGGAATTGACCATTAATGAGAAAGCAAATGAGCAGCTTACAAACCTGAACAAAAAGTTGAAGAAAAGTTCTGGAGAGCCAAATCCACCTCTTCTACTGTAGAAAGTGCTATAAGATGAGGAAGGAGAGTTTCAAGAGCCTGAATAAACAATCTGGCACTCTGCTGATCTGCTTCCTGGTTCCTAAGTAGCTTCAAGGAAAGAGCAGCAGTTCGTAAAGACTTGTGACCGGGACAATCTCGTGGCGTCTGTTCTTCATCAGCTAAAGAACAGTTATCTGAACCTATATCTGACACATCTGATCTCCCAGAATCTTTTTCTGCTGCCATAGAATATTGGTCACACGAATCAAATTCAGTTCTGGAAAGATCCTGGTCTTCAACACTGAAATTACTCTCGCTGTATCTAGATCCACACGAACGGGCCTTGCAATCAACAGAAAGGAAATTAGTTATATCTGGATAGACAACGTTATGGCTCCGTTGAACTACATCCGGCTGGTCAACTGTTTCTGATTCTGGCTCTTTAGGATGAATGTCCTTGCCTACTGGTCCAGCTGGGGATTGCAAAGAATTCTTACGAATTTCAGAATGATCATCTGGTGTCGTCTGTCCCATATCTCCTTCAAGGGTGGTCTGGCCAGTATCTGTGGTAACACTAATACTAATGTCAGGACTCTTTTCGTGGCCTGCCTCCCAGGGGGCATGTTCCGATGATAGGATACGTCTTTGCCACCTAAAATCAGACTCGTTGATCTCCATGGAATCTCTGCTGGTCTCGGCCCCCTCTTTTAACTCGTCTAACCGTCGGAGAAGCAGATGGACTTGCTCCTGATCAAGGCCCTTTCCTTGACTTAGCTCATCCAGAGTCCCAAGCAGGGCACAGACACAGGACACCGAGGCATAACAGGCTTCGATACCACCTTTTATGCAGGCTTCAGTCATCCCATCCAAGATTCTACAATGTAAAGAAGATACAAGACACCCTTCACTCTTATGCCTCCTAGATCAATTATACGTTAGGTAAAGAATTTATAATGTAAAAAAAAGAGACGGTTTCATCTCTTTGGTAGTGAGTTAGCATTTGATTGACCAGGTCCATGTGATTAATTAAGAAAGGCATCCATCTTATAAAACAAAAGCTTGCCTTCGATGGTATTCCAGTCATTAACAGTATTGCAAAGGAAAAATCCTACAGATGTTGTAATTAAGATTTTTTCCCCTGATGTCTCAGAATATCTATGATGCATGCCTGCACACCAGCATATTTTAGACCCAAAGGTCTTCAGTTCTGAACTGAAGAAGCTTCCTGGATGAGAAGTGAAACAACTTCAAGGAAAGACCAAGGAAGTCCAGTTGTCTTTTGGGAAAAAAAAGCACCTTTGGGACAACCATGACCTGGATGGCTGAGAATTTCCATAGACATTTTGCTTATTTTAGAATTATTTAACAGATTCTTAGACTTTTAGATCTGCACACTCAGTTGAAGAACAAGACTGTGCTAATTAGAATCCTGGAAAGCCTATTTAATTAAATACTGTCAAAGGGGAAGAAAATATTTGTTTCAAGCAATCAAGCAACATAGTTATTAAACATTGTAAAATAATGGGGTACATACAGTTTAAGGAGGTCCAGGTGGTATTTTCTTTTTGAAATGGATCTTTTTCTTGATTCTGGTTCTATGGAGCAGGGACCTGCTAAATCACAAAGCCGCCGAGGGCTTCCAAGTATCTAAATATAAGCAATTTAAAGACCATCGGATTAACGCATTATTTTAAAGTCACTTTCCTAGTGAGATGGGCGAAATAAACTGGTTTTTTTTTCTTTTTTTCAAAATTTCCAGTTAATCCTGAAATACCTTGTCAAAATTTATTCCCAAATTCAAGCAGACAAGGAAATTAATTAAGGATTGTGCCGCAATTGTTTCTTTTGATCACAGTATTGTTTCATAAATTTTATTATTGAAAACAAACACTTTGCAACACATAAAGAAATTTAACTGCAGTTTAAGTTGACAAGTTTAAAAATCAACCAGGCAGTGTCAATTCACCTCTTTCATGATCTTGATAGCTTCTACTCTGTGTTGGGGTGGGGGATACAGAAGCATCCGATGGTAGAGAGATTGTAGAACAGGCTTCATAGACTCCAGTGAGCCCACTAACCGAACAAGCTCTGCTGCAATGTAATAGATAGTCCGTGCAACAGGACTACTAAGGGCAGGGGCAGTTGTAGAGCAGCCCGAGCCTCGGCCGTGGTCAGAGACTCCGGAAGAAGGAGAATCGGCTTCATGACCAGTGTGGCTGTGAGCAGATGTGATAGTTTTGTCATGAATCGGATTGCCCAAGATGACTATCAGGGCTGGACACAGCTGCTTCCTGAGAAAAATAAATTAAAAAAAAGAAAGTGTGGGAGAAGGAATGAAGGATTCAGTGTCTGAAGAGATAGTTAAGATAGTTTTTTTTTCTTTTATGTTGGAAAAGAAAGTACGGTTCCATAGAAAAAATGAACAATCGAAAATAACTGAAACACAGAATGAGTGACTTATAAACAGAATTAAGGCTTTGGTATTTAGCCCACCAACCTTTCATCCCCCTTCATCCATGTGCCTTAATTTGCATTTATTTTTGACTGGTTTTTCTCCCTATTTCATGCTCATAGACTTTAGGTATGGAATATAAGCAAATGATACGGAGCCTGCCATTATGGTTGCATGTCATGACAGCTGTTAAGCAAAATGGCCTCGCTTAATGATTCCACCTCTTGACGCAAACATTAAATGAATGCAAATGTTTGTTAAATTGAGCACCCGATACCTCAGGGATAGGGGAGGCCCTTGGGGGACTACACAGGCCCAGGGTCACCTGCCCCGATCTCCCAAGGCTATATCCACCCCGAGGCACCCTGTGCTTTGTTTCTTGCCCCTCAAGGTTCCATAGTTCTTCAGCCTCCATTCCAACCAGTGAGCAATGGAGATCAAGCTATCTCGACCTTGCAAGCCTCCAGCTGCCTTCCTACCCAGCAACCAAGGGGAGATCGGGTCAGCAGAAGTTTTCAAACTCCTATGAGCGAAGGGAGATCAGGCTGGTAACTAAAATGACACATTTATCTTTCAACTACTTATATTCAAATATTTGTTCAATCCGTGAGCTATTTTGAGATCTCCTTGAATAGTAAATGTTTTTCTACCATTTACTCTGCTTCTTCTCGGATGCTTCCAACTCATACTGTAGCTCCATGGGAATGGAAATGGCATTCTCTATAGGCTCAGTAATATTTACTTTGTCCAGATGATACCCAGTTTGTTGCTTTAAAAGCAATATTCTAATGCAAATTTTCATTAATTTCCTGAACCCCTTATGGTCTTAATTTTTTTAGCATATGAGCATTACAGAAAGCTAGCAGCCATAGATGAGACATATGATTCTCAGAAAAGAAATAGCTGCATTAAAGAGTTGCAGATAGGTGCTACATGAGCATTGTCTGATGTCCTTGCCTACTCCAGAATGCTGTAAAGCCACAAGGTGTAGCACTGAAGTATTGGAGAAGTACCAATCCCAGTTCAAATCTTTACTTTACCAAAAGACTGACTGTGGGATTTTGGACTGGTTATTCTTTCTTAACCTAACATACCTCCCAGGTTTATAGGGTAAATGGAGATGTCCATATATGCCCTGTTGAACTCACTGAGAAAAAAAACAAAAAGTTATCAGTGCAATCCCTCAGTCCATTCAATTTGCATGCCCTCTAATAACTTTTTCTCTCCTTGGTTAGAGAAATAGGTTTGCATTAAGTCACCCTACTGTGAAAGGCACGTGGTCATTCATGAAGACCAACTGGGTAAGATCCCAGTTTTTTCTGTTGCACTTTCAGTGCACCACTGGGTGGTGTTCTTTTCAAAGACAGATGTGGCTTCTGATGTGCAGCACAAAAGACCGAGATTTTTGGTCATGAAGCAATTTCAGACTCAAATAGATAGGATTTCCTAAGCATTTTTTCCCCTCTTTTAATCTAAATAAGTATTACCTCTGCTCAAATATGGAGACCAAAGAAGATTGATACAGGTCTGAAACTCTGTTCTTTTTAATCATTCAAAGCACATCTACTTACCAGATGAGGTCAGTAAATCCTTTATGGTGGTGCATGCTAGCAGAGAAGCTATTCAGCATAGAAAGAATGCATTCCAGGTAGAGAAGCTGCAACTGCTGATTCTCACTGAAAAATGGAAGCACGATGCATAGAGATAATGAAAAAGCAAGCACTGCATACTTTCCCGTGAGTCAGAGAAATAAAAGAAAGTCCTCTCCAAGGGCAAGGCAAGAAAAGGCAGCTGTATGCAATTATGGAGGTCAAAACTACACCTAATGCATTACTTGTGAAAATGAAAGAAGGAACATGGCTGAAAACATCCACAAACTTAGCAGTTAAGTATTTGGGTGCACTAAAAAGAGCATGTTCCTGCAACTGATTTGATGTTACAGTATGTGAGAATGACCTTCAGAAACCAGGCCCAGAGGTACTGTCTAGGACAGGGATCTGCAACCTTGACAACTTTAAGACTTGTGGACTTCAGCTCCCAGAATTCCTCAGCCAGCATAGCTGGCTGAGGAATTCTGGGAGCTGAAGTTCAGAAGTCTTAAAGTTGTCAAGGTTGCAGACCCCTGGTCTAGGGAATAGTCAGATAAAAGACACCATAGCTTGCAGCTGGATAATGGGGGGTGGGAGGTAAGTGGTTCAGAAGAGACCTTCCTAATTTCTCAGGGGTAAAGGAGATGGTAGGAGAATTGTACTTCCATGTCTGCAAGATCATTACACTAAAGTAGAAATAGCTAATCTGATCATATTTCCTGTTTGGTGTACCTGGTAAGTAAGAAAAAGGTACAGGTGATCCTCGACTTACAACAGTTCATTTAGTGACCGTTCAAAGTTACAACAGCACTGGAAAAAGTAACTTACAACGTTTTTCACACTTACAACCATTACAAGCATCCCCATGGTCACGGGATCAAAATTCGGATTCTTGACAACTGACTCATATTTATGACGGCCGCGGTGTCTGAGGGTCATGTGATCACCTTTTGCGACCTTCTGACAAGTAAAGTCAATGGGGAACCCAGATTCACTTAACCACCGTATTACTAACTTAACACGTGCAGTGATTCACTTAACAACCAGGGCAGGGAAGCTCGTAAAATGGAACAACATTTGTTTAACAAATGTCTCACTTAGCAACAGAAATTTTGGGATCAATTGTGGTCGTAACTCGAGGACTACTGGTATAGGCAGAAATGGGGCAAGGGTGCTGAAAGTTACTTCTGTGAATCATGTTCTAATCATAGGCAATTAGTTTATATATCATCACCTTATAGTTTTGGAAGGGCATTTGCATTATTGCATATATGCTGCCCATTTACTGAATGTTGGCTGAATATCTTAATATTATGAACATGGCACCCAGTCATATATCTGCCTCTATATCTTTGTGTACAGAAGACTGCCTTTGTATATGACTCCTTCCTTAAGGACTAAGATATTTTTGCCGGGTTGCTGCTATTATTATTATTATTATTATTATTATTATTACTACTACTACTACTACTATTATCACCATCATCATCATCATCATCATCATCATCATCATCATCATCATCATCATCATCATCATCATCTATATGCACACCCAATTTATCTGCCCAAATAAAAATATGTATATACATACAAATAAAACGAAATGGTTCCAGTTGCAATGAACATTTTATTTATCATTAAAATGCAGCAACGTGAGGCTAATTAGAGTTCCCTAATGAATTTTATATGAAATGCTGTGACTGGGAAGTCTCAGTTTTATATCACTGCTCCATGTGATCACAAGCAGGGTCTCACCATTCAGGCAACTTAGTATTCCAGGAGATAATTGTTTAAGTATTTTGTTTCTAAATCATTAGCGGGTCTATACACACAGTGCTTTTTTTCAAAAAAAAAAAAAGGTGCCGGAACTCACACATGTCATACAACCTGCCTTGCCTACCCTACAAGGTTCCATCCCAAAAAGGCACCGGAACTCCGTTCTGGGCGTTCTATGAGAAAAAAAGCCCCGTATACACAAGTACCAAATTATGAATCATATTAATCTTCTCTGCTCAACAATTTCACTATGCTCACAACTGAGCAACTGAGAATAGAAATAATAATGATCTAGTTAGATACTATACAAAGTAGAAAATAATGAAGAAAACCTCTATCTTACTGCCTTGGTGAATTCCACTGCCTCGTTTTTTTTGTTTTTTTTTTTTTTAAAAAGACGATGCCATTGATGGAGACATGGAAATCTCTCTTCGCTTAATGACTTGCTTCATCCACATGTCTCTGATTGCAAACACATTATGTTTTGAAGTTTAATTTAAAGAAAACTAAACCACAAACTTGCAGATACATACCTTGCTTATAGAGGGGGTAATAATGCATGCCTAAAGGGTTGTTAATATTTTAAGACATATTTCTCTATGCTTATTTCTGACCTAGCTACTTGGGAAGCAGATAAACGTATGGTTTTCTTCTTCAAACAGCCTGCCAAGGTGTATTATCCCAATGATACATTATCAGTAAGATAAGAGAATTATATATAAGGAGACACAGAGAGAGAGATTTCCTCTGAGATACCAATTAGAAGAAATGAAGCACTACAGGAGAACAGTATAATTAATTTTTCTACATGTACAGCCCTGAAGGAAAGCAGAGCTGGCTAGATTTAGGCTTTCTATTTAAGATATGGGGCACGGAGATTGCTGCCTGCTCAAGATTGCTCATTCTCAAGTGGGGAAAAAAGAAAGAGGGAAACACCCTCCCCCCAATTCCCTTCCATGTTCTTTGTTGGTATCTTAGAAAAGGAAACATAAAAATGTGTGGTTTCTGTTTGTGCTTTGGAGTCCCAGTTAGAATTTCAATGCTTTTTCTTTCCTTACTGTTCTCCGGGATATTTTAAATTTTCTCTGTGTTTACTGGCAGATAATCTCCTTTTCCCAAATTATTCTATACATGCTGGCTGAGTGATTCTAGATAGAGGATGTTATAGGATTCTAGCAGGGAAATAATCAGAGACTTTTAGTATTAAGAACAAACCAGACCAGATTTCTATGATAAGCAATGATGGTTTAATGGAAAGAGGCCACTACAATGGTTATCTCCACCAATAGTCTAGAAATTATCTGGTCTTCTCTCCTAGACTCTCCAATTCCCAGAAAGCTTTTACAATTAACAGTGGGACAGATCATAGGAATTGGCTTCTATTTATATTTATTTTTCAGTTTTTATTTAAAGTAAAATATATCTAGCTTGAGCCCTGGTGAATCCATACAGTCATCAATGTAGTTTTTGAGGCTAAAATATGAAATGATTTTGTGACACCCTTTATTCAAAATGTTTTTTCCCATGCCCTTGTTTAGCTTACAACCCTTGTAAGTCCTTGAGATCCTTCAATTCTGCTTATCTTGTATTCTCAAACAAGGTCAACCAGATACTTTCACTGCTGAGACTTTACAATTGTTCATATTTATCATAAGATGTTTTTTTAGTATTCTTATCCTGAAAGGTGGGATATTATTTATTATAATAAAGAAATAATAGATAATAATAAACCACACTTCCAAAAGCCCTACTGAAATAATTAAAAACATACCCATCAATGCAATAAACCTTTCTAACAAATTGCATGCAATTAAAAAGTAGTTAGATATCACTTGCAAATAATTATAGTTATTTAGGTACACAAGTAATTACAGTTCCTAAACTTATAGAAATTTATTATACTATTACATAAATTATAATAATAATTGCTGGGAACAATAATTGTCTGTTCCTCCAACTACATAATCTGTAGTTGTCCCATCCAATATTCAATTAATTTTCTACAATGAAGCTCATGTACTACAATGTAACACGTCAAGAACTAATTTGCCAAAATGTGTTCTATCACGCAAGGAAATCTGTTTACTGCTAACGGCTTACACAGAGCAGTTTTTATGATAACAATGCCAAAATGTGGGCTACCCTTTTAAATATTCAAAATACAATAGAAATTAACATCCCAAATGGGGAGTACAATAACAAAACCAAAACTAATACTGCAAGGATCTGCCTGCAAGACTGCACCTGGCAGAGCAAATATCTGCCAGTGAAAAATTACAGCATTTGTTTTTTTGTAATATGTTCTGCATTATGCCCATGTTTCAAAATTACACAAAATTTGTTTTTCGTAGTTTTACTGATGATGGAAAACATGGGATGTAGGAGTTTAGGAACAGAGAGTGTGCTGGATACAGAACATATCTATGGCTCTGAATATCGTCAGGCTAATGTTATGCTTGTAAAATTAATCAACTAGTACAAATCTAAACTTGATTCAATAGGACAGATAGGAAACCCAACCAAGGACAGGGTAGATATCCTCCCTGACTTCATTTATATTTAGAAACACTCACTTACCTGATGGCTGTCTGAAGTTTTTCACAGAGGACCATGAAGACAGAGACAACATCATCACAGAATGACTCAGTGGTGGAATCTCCAAAGTAAATAAAAGGCATGCATTAACAGCTTCAGATATATGCTATATCAAAATTGGGCACATGTAATATCTCCAATCTTGGCAACTGGACCCATCACACAGAAGTTGTGGATGACTGGGATATCGTATTGCAAGAAAAACTCCACCTTAGAGAAACTTAGAGAATCTTACCAGCTCACAAATCAAATAAGTGACAATTTGGAATGCATAATCTACTGAGTGTGAATTCTGCAAATTTCTCTGTAGAGGACATCACTTGTAGTGGTCATGTTAGCCTAACATATAGTTATAGAGACTGTGGGAAATAATTATGAGCTGACCCATAACAAATCTATTGGGATTTCAGATGTACTGTACCAACATACATTCAACCTGTTTCAACCTCTGTCAAACCTTTGAAAAAAAGATAAAACCTATGAGCTGAAATTTTCTTGGTATACATGAAGTAATTTCTACCTTCTAATTGCTCACTCATTAGCTACGCAAAACTGCTAGAGGCTATTCATATTCACTGCAGCCTTGTATGCTGTAATTATGCTAGAATCCAACTCATATGATTCCCAATCAGCTTGGCTACCTCATACTTCCCATCTCCCCTAATGAAAATGGTAGTCTAAGCTACAACATGCAAAAGATACTAGTTTGAAAAAACTGATATAAAATAGGAGTACATGTGAACTAAATATTGGAGCGGGGTCCCTAACCCCTGGGCTGCAGCCCACTATTGGGCTGCGGCCCTTTCGAAACCAGGCTACGCAAGTAGCAGAAACTCGAGTGTGAAGGTCCATTTGCCCCTTGTGTAAAAGGAGCTGTGACTGCTTGCGTGCCCACTCCTTTGCCCCTGACCAAGAAGTTGATGGGAATTGAAACAGTTCCAGAGGAACTTAAGTCTGGTCATTTAACAACTATTTGAAGTTACCATGGCTTCAGAAAGGGAGCTTTATGGCTCCTAAAGCACTTCTTTGTGCCACCTACCCACAGTCACATGATCACAATCTGGATGCTTGGCATTCTGTTCTTACTTACAACCGGTTGTCAAGGCCTCATGATCCTGAACATCTGAACTCTATTCCTGCATCCTGCATCTCTATTCCCTTCTGTGTGTGAAGGGGAGCTGACATCCTCCCCCAGGGTGCTGAAATGGAGCTTAAATCTTGATGATTAAAACTCTATTTCTGCATCCTGCCAAAAGAGTTCTGTCTATCAAGGAGAACTGATACCTTTTGGCAGGCAGCTCTTTTCAGCTTACCAAAGAATATCGGTCCCTAGAGATAAAGTGGAATTGAACTCCAGGCAGGATTTTCAGCTCCTGAGAAGAGAGGTAGAGCAATAAGGTAAAAGCACTGATTGCCTCAGGTAAGTGAGGGAGGTCTGGTGCAGATGTCTCTCCCTCAGGTGCTGAAAATCCTGCTTGGATTTCAACAGGGAGGATTTTCAGCTCTTGAGTAGAACCTCCCAGGATCTCCCTCACCGTCATACTCCTTACCTGGGACTCCATCCATTTAATGAGCTGTGCAATCACTTAATGACCACAATCAGGAGTGTGGAAATTGTGATCATTGAGCAAAGCAGTCATATGAACAGTCACCTGAAGTCTTGCTTGACAACTGCTTTGCTCAACGACTGAGATTCCAGTCCCAATTGAGGTTATTAAGCAAGATCCCTATATTAAGTTGCCTATCTCTGGTCCTTTTTTTATGAAAGTAAAACACCATAATTTTGCACAAATATGAAAGTTAACAAATAAATCATTTTCTGAGTCCGCCAGGAGAAGGGCGGGGTATAAATTTAATAAAACCTAAAACCTAAAATTAATTAACTGATACCTGAATTCTTGAAACCTTGAAGAACTCCTTGGCTTTCAGTCATCTATCAAAGGAGAATAGAGATAATGTCATGGTTCTGATAGATGAAACCGATCAAAAGAACTTCAAGGCAAAAATTCTTCCTTAAAGAACACTTTATTTAGGAAACAAAATATCGGCACTACATAGTTGAACCCAAAAACTAAATTCCCTTCCCCCGGATACAAAGTAACAAGTGCGATTCCCACCCCCAATAAGCTGTCATAAATCACATTCTCCAATTAGCCTAAAACGTGGGCTTTCTCCCCAGCTCTTCAGCCCACCAAAATGTTATCAGTTCGTCCTTGGGTTCCCACAAAGCAGTGTTATTATTATGGCTAGCTGAGCTTGAGCATTTATCCCACCCCCCTACCCCCTTCTGCACCTATTTCTAAATACCAGAAAAAGCATGTTAAAAGCAAAGAGAAAATGGCTGCCATTTTCATCAGTTGTCAGAGTGGGAACATCCAATGTTTACAGGGTTGACAGGTACTGTCAATAACACAGACAAAACACAAGTAGCAATGTTACTCTAGACCAGTGGTTCTCAACCTTTTTAATGCCGCGACCCCCAACCGGTCGTAAGTCGAGGACTAAACCGGTCATAAGTCGAGGACTAAACCGGTCGTAAGTCAAGGACTACCCAACCGGTCGTAAGTCGAGGACTTTCCCTGCCCGGGAGCGCCGCGCATGCGTGGTTCCGCTCCCTGCGCCGGCCGAGGCGTAGCTGGCAAGCGGCAGAGATGGAGCAGGCCGACCACCAGCTGGCCCAGCTCAAGAGAGGTAAGGCACCCGCCGGAAAAGGGAAAAAAAATGGCTGACAGCCTTGCTTGGCGACCCCCGTGAAATGGTCGATCGACCCCAAATGGGGTCACGATCCATAGGTTGAGAACCGCTGCTCTAGACAAATCTCTTACTTTACAATTTGTAGAAATTTGCAGCTGAAGCAGGAAAAAGTTCATATTTTTCTAGGCTCAGACAAAACCTGATCCAGAAGAAAATGTCAGAGCCTGCTAAAAATTACCTTGACTTTTTTTTTTTTTGCTAGGCTTTAATAGTTTGTAAAAACCTATTTATAAATCCAGTTTTGTGAGCATTACACCAACTCTAACTGAAGCATAAGCAGCAAAGGCCAATACCATTACAGATGCCTCATTGACTCACTGTATTTTCTTGCTTTTGCCGTAATTGTAAAATCAAATCACTTAACATCTGGCTGAGGGTTGCCCGTACAGCTGTATTAATACTCCGCTGGTGATAACTGGAAATATAAGTTTCAATACAAACCTGTTTGGGGAAAAGGAAAAGAGACAATACTGTAGGACCAATACAGTTATACTGATTAGAAGATAATGTGCAGGTAGTCCTCAACTCACAACCACAATTGAGCCCAAAATTTCTCTTGCTAAGTGAGACATTTGTTAAGTGAGCTTTGCCCTATTTTATGATCTTTCTTGCCAAAGTTGTTAAGTGAGTCACTGTAGTTTTTAAGTCAGTAACACTGTTGTTAAGTGAATCTGGTTTCCCCATTGACTTGGCTTGTCAAAAGGTTGCAAAAGGTCATCACATGACCCCGGGACACTGCAACTGTCATAAATGTGAGTCAGCCTGGGACACTGCAACTGTCATAAATGTGAGTCAGCTGTCAAACATTCAAATGTAAATCACATGATCAGGGGGATGCTGCATAAGTCGTAAATGTGATGGTCGTAAGTGTGAAAAATGGTCATAAGGCACTTTTTCAGTGCCGTTGTAACTTTGAACAGTCACTAAATGAACCGTTGTAAGTGGAGGACTATTTCTATATCAGCTATTTTAGACATAAGTCACTGTTCCAGATATCTGTCGACACATATTTGCATTTCGCTCTCTTTCTTTTATCTTATATTGCTGAGTACTAAAGTCTCATTTCATAGTAATATATACAAAACAGAAAACTAATAGCAGTCACATTTTGGTATGTTTTTTAAAAACTTTGATAGAAGCTGCTTGCCTGAAAGAGTTCAAGAGAGTGAGGAGGGAATAACAACTTCTCCCAAAACAATTACGTGAATTAGAGATACATGACTGACATAAATCTAACATTGTGAATGGGAAAAAAACCCCATAATCTAATGGGAAGCACATTGTTTATTAAACAGCTCAAGTTTCATTTCCAATTGACAGAGAATACTCACTTCAGCAATCTTAAGTACTGAACTTCCGTTCAACACAAATGTTGGAGTGTATGTTATGCAGAGCAGTACCTAGATTTAAACAAATACAGCACAAAAGAATTTTAGATTGACGATTCTCTCAATTAAAAACATGTTAATGGTCAAAAGTGATGAACATCAATCTGGAAGCAAGTCTATAGCATATGTGTCTGTTATCTGACTGCAAAATCATACAACACACAGAGGACCATAATGTTAAAGCCAGAATAGAACCTCACAAACAATGTAATGCAATGCAGTGCAGTGTTGTGCAGTGCAATGCAATAATAATAAATAATAAAAATAATACAATCCAAACAAAGGCAGCACATAATTCAAAGGTCTCTGAGTAGTTCAAGGATCTTGACATTAATTGCATCAGCCTTTTATAAGACTTTTATATACTGACTACCGATTATGCAAACTACTGTCTAGACTCTAGCGCATCCAGAACTATCAGCATGAAAATGTTTACAGTGCCAAGAATAAAATTATGAATATTTTAAGACCATCCTGATCCAACCTCTAATGGGGAAAGATCTACAGTGGCAACCAGGAATATTAACTCTGTCTGCTAAAATAGCATATATACAACGCTATGAATTAAATTTATAGGGCAAAAACAGTTTTGTAATACTATAAATCAATGAAATGAGCTACAAAGGACAAATATTACAAATGTCTTATTTTGCAAGGATATTGAATGACTGCAGTGTAGAAAGCTGAGAAAATTAAGAATGCCTCTGCATGTAGCAAGTGAAAATATAGATCCCATTCAAGCTTGGTCTTGGAAGGAGACAAATGGAACAGAAAAAAATCCTCCCCACTATAAAAAAAGGAATTAATTTCAATGACATCCATTGACATGATTTGTGGCACTTACTACCACTTTTCTGAATGCAAAGTGGCTGAATACTAAATACTTTGGATGTTGTTGTCAATTTTTCATCAATGTACCAAGTGTCAACTAGCTGTTCATTTGACATTTCATAAAGAATGTACAAAATCTGTGAAATCAAAACCTTCATACAAAAATGGTTATATATTGTTTATGCTTCAAAGTTATTTATAATTGCCCTGCTTAGAAATCCAAATGTCACTGCAGGAATTGGTAGTGAAATCCTCAAGCCCCAGGACACAATCCCAGGGAACATATAATTAATTGTTATTCATTCATTCATCATACTATATCGCCACCATCTCACAAAACATGACTCTGGGTGGTATACAATAAAAAAAAACCACTATAACACAGTAATGTAAAAAACAAACATCAATTAAAAATATTAACATTATGATTAACAGGCAAGGAGACAGCAATAAATATTAACAACAGGACCACTTTGGCAACTCACCCTCCCCTTGGAATTCCCAGGCCTTTTCACACAACCATGTTTTGAGGGACTTACAGAAAGTTAACAGGGATGGGGCTAACCTCTCCACATTGTAGACGTGCATAGTTGTTTAAATTGCCCTTTTTTTTTCACTGACAGCCCTGGAAGGTCAATGAATGACTTTGGGCAAGCTACTCCAAATGCTGTTCTATAAAAGCTGAAAAATAATGCTATGTACATTGCTGTCAGATCCTAGAAGGAAGGTGGGGAATAAATCTAACAAGTAAAAACATAAATGAAACACACAGCTCATCTTTCTGCTTAAAACAACAGCTACGCTAAGGTACAGTAAAACGGTGAAAATACGATCCTAAAAAATTATGGAGTAAATGGCAAAATCTAACGAGGGTAAATATTTCTTTTATCCATCCTGAATAGATGCAGAGTTTATATCCTTGAGTGAACAGAAAGATAGGTCCTAAAACTCAAAGTGAAGCTGCCTCTTGATCTCCTTAATGTTTTCCATTATCAATGTCAACATAAAATCCTACTCTGCACAGTTTAAATTTGTATATTTGATATGACAGGATGCCCCAGATAAGGTCATTGTATTATTGAGCATCATGGAGAATAATATAGATGCTTACACACTGGGAAGAGAATTGGAATGGAGCTTGAAGTAACTTTCCTTAAAATGTGGTCAGTTAAACCCTGTTTTGTTTTAAGTAAACAATATTGAATTCTTGTTTTGCACATGCTCAGAAGAAAATTCCCTCCAGTACTGAATGGCCAAAATAACATTGTAGATTTTAACCACAGTTGGAGAGCTTTCTGATATAAAAGAGAAAATATTGTTTTTGGTTTCCAAGAAAATGAATATTATCTTAATGGGTTCTACAAATCAATAAGAGAAAAAAAGTTTTGATTTTATTAAATAGAAAGATATATTCCTACAACTGAATTTGGCAGTATTTTCAAGCACTTGCATATTGGCAATCAGCACTTAATATAATTTGAATTTTTCATTTTCAAAATAATTGCAGAATGTTAAAAAATAATACTGTAAAACAGAAACGCATTTCAGTTCAGAAAGTAACTTGCAGCCTCAAGAAATTGTTAAAGTCCTCAGATCAAAATTGGAAGATTTGTATTCTTATTATTTTCAAAATAGCTGTCCTGAATTAAAGCATTCTGTATTTGCAAAGCTGCCAATCTTTCAATTTATTCAATCTGGAATCACAGTTATTTTTAGAAACTTTGGAGGGAGAGGAGATTAATAGCCTAACATTGGGCCAACTACAATTTTAAGAAATCTCTACCACATGAAAACTGTTATAAGAGAACATATTGCTCAAAAGCATACCATCTGTATATGAAGTTTGAATACTCTTGCAAAATTCATTGCACCAAATTCCTAATTCTTTTCCCCATATTGATCTGATTATCTGCTGCAGTGATGAACAACTGATATGAATTCAGTACTGCTAAATAAAATAATTAATAAAATAAATAAAATAAGTAACAGACCTCATATTATCTAACTACATTTACTCAGAATAAATATTTTTCTAGTGCCAGTACAACACATTCAGTAGAACATGGATAAAATACTGTTGTAATAATCTGATGTAATGGTATACGAGAAAGACCTTGATTAATGGAGCAGAGATACTGCCTAGGGCAGGGGTCTTCAAACTTGGCCCTTTTATGACTTGTGGACTTCAACTCCCAGAATTCCTCAGCCAGCCTGGCTGAGGAATTCTGGGAGTTGAAGTCCACAAGTCATAAAAGGGCCAAGTTTGAAGACCCCTGGTCTAGGGAATGGTCAGATAAGAGGGGACATAGCCCACAGCTGCATAATGGGCTCAGAAGAGATCTTTTCTAACTTCTCGGTTAGAGTATAGGAGAAAACAGAAGATTTGTACCTGCACACTTGCTAGAGTGATGTTAACCTTCTCACGTAAACCAGACAGGAAACATGGCCAGATGAACTACTTTATTGTATGGTTACATTAACAGAATCTTGCAAATCTGAAAATACAAATCTCCCATCGTCTCCTTTACAGCTTGACAAGTTAGGGAGGGTCCCTTCTAAGCCTCTTTCTCGCCCATTAGGCAGTTGTGGACTATGTCTCTTCTTATCTGACCATTCCCTAGCCAGCATCTCTTTGCCCTGTTTCTTAGGGTCTTTCTCATATGAATGAAAAAATATATACCAAGAATGGAGAGAGAAAAATGAAATAAGATCCACTGCAGCTACGAACTGGGTTTCTCTCTCTCTTTCTCTCTCTCTCTCTCTGTCACATACATACACACACACACACACACACACACAGAGAGAGAGAGAGAGAGAGAGAGAGAGAGAGAGAGAGAGAGAGAGAGAGAGAGAGAGAGAGAGAGAGAGAGAGAGAGAGAGAGAGAGAGAGACTTAAAAACAATGAATTGGTATTAATAGTTCATAAATGTGAAATAGAAATAAATAAAATAGGAGTAAGCAGAAACAAGGAGCAATCAGAGTCTCTATTCAATGGAAAAGAATGCACAAATGAAGAAAGTGCCATAGTTTTCCTGTATAGCCAGGAAATGATGCAACCTACAATATTCCACTAAATGTAATATTAATAATTTTTGTATATTTATTCCCTTATGGAAGAAGCTTTAGAAAAAAATAAATACCCATACATTACCTTTCTAAGCATTACATTATATTCACTTATTAATCTAGTGCAGCTATTTAGGATATGTTTTCAAAAGACAATTGGACTTTCTTGTTTTTTTTCCTTTGAAAATGTTTTGCTTCTCATCCAAGAATCTTCTTCAGTTCTGATTAGAAGTTAATATTGTAATTGTAGTCTCCCAGCATTTTTGGTTTTGCTCTGATTCGTATCTATGGGATGGACTATTCCACATTACTCTGGGGCGTCTCCCACTGTTTACAAACACTATTTGTAATCCTACGTGTGCTGAATGCAACAAACCACTTCCATCAGCTGGATGGATCTGCTGGATGGAATGGAGAGCAATTTTAATTTTCTATTTTTTGGCACATTTCCATATGTTGTTCTCAAGGATCTCTAAACTGATATCTTTACGGATAATAAATATTGACCAAGGTCCAGAAAAGGCAGTATAATTTAACAATAGAATTTTTAAAATTAGTTTCAGTCCTCTGATTGAAGCACTTCTGTGCCACCTGGTAAAAAAAAGGCAAAAAAAATTGGGAAACATGTATATACATTTAGAAGGGTTAAGTACTCCTTCAGCGTATACAGCATGATGTTTTAATTATGAAGAGGATGAACACAGAGCTGTCTATTAAGCACTGGAGCTGTGAAATGGTTTTCCAGTGATTAGAAACAATTACTCAGAGAGATGGATGCTTAAACGTTTAGACAAACTCTTATACAGGCATGGAATAACTGTAAAGCAGTTCGCTAAAGAAGAAATGCATTAATTCACTGGGCTAAGACAGACAGCATAAAGCAGTTATGTCAAACTCACGACGTCATGTGACATCCTGCGACGTATCGTGACTTTTTCCCCATTGCCGGCAATGGGGTGGGAGAGGTTTCAATATGATGCATTCAACCCGGGGGCCGGCAGTTTGACATGCCTGGCCTAAAGCAAGAAAATTGTCTGCTTAGGAACAGCAGAAAGAAGACAATATTTATCCCTGGCTCTGGGGATAAAATTCCTTATTCAATGTTAGAATCAGTG